ATTCGGAAAGAAGAATCGATAAGAAGATATCGCATGGAAATTTCGCAGTCAAATAATCGATTTTCAATCAACCTTACGTATCTTAAGCTATCGTAGTCAACTATTATAGAAAAATAACGAGGAGAAGCATACTCAAGAATCAAGAATGCAAAGTTACGTGTTTTTTTTTTTAAAGATAGTCGATATTATTTCAATCTTATAACAAAATCAGGTGTCAGGTGCGAGAATATATTGCACAGCAAAGGCGGAGATGATAAATTTGTCATTTCAGTTTGTACTGCTGAATCGACCGCATTAAAACTGCATAAGCAGAATGGAAAGTGCACTCGCGTTTATTGATATACGGGAGTGTAAATGAAAGCATCATTTGGTCCACCCGAAAGTTCATAAACGAATCGACGCGTATGTGAATAATCACACGCTCGATACTTCTTTCTTTGCAATTCCCAGAAACTTTTCTACATTTCAATTTGCAATTTTTATGATTGTTCGATCGATCGCGATATCACCGAGGGAAATGTATTACTATCTTTCCATTGTTTTGAAACAATAAAGCCTATATTATCTATACTGCAATATATATTCATAAAAGGAAAAAAATACATGAATGCAATTTGTATATGATATCTAATATTTATATACATATATAGTATTGTATCGTGAAAAATTATGTAAGAATAAAAATACTACAAGTAAAATTATTGCATTTTGCATCATATAAATTGTCCGTTTAGTTCTTAATTGGAAACTTTTTATCCAATTCTATATTTATTTCATAATTTCTTTTTGATAAAACGTAACATTTAATATTTTTTCCCTATAATTAAATTTTAACATTAAATTTCTGTTTCTGTACAAAACATTAAAAATATCTCTTCTAAAATATTTTTTTATATATTTTTTTGTAGCGCTTGTGTGAACATTTCCTTCAATTTTTAAAGTATTAAAACGAAAATTCTCGTACATAGCAGCAAACAAAAAATTGTGATAATTAAACTAGTAAAAAAGAATTTAACAAATTTATTTTTAAAAAATATACTTAAATTTACTTGAAATTATTTAAATGTTATTCAAAAATAAATAGATGCTCAAATACTATTAAATTTAAAATGTGCGTAAAAAATTTGAATTAATATAATATAAATAACAAATTAAAATTTAGAAAAAATATAACATATCTTAAAACAACTGTATTATTGTTAATCTGATATATGCAAGGATATACAATATATAATTCTTTTTTATAATTCAAATGGAAGCTGACAGGAATTCCGATATTTGTAATTTATAAATCCACCGTTTTTCCGTAACAACTTTTCGTACAACGAAAGCGCTTGTCATGACATAATCTCCATTGTCAAATGGGTACAACTAGTTTATAGAACAGCTGTGGAATCATGCGTACCACGGAAGGAATAAATTAAAGCTTGCGAACTAATTTAAATGGACATCGGCGATGTATAAAAATAAAAACCGCCACGCGTCGTAAATTCGCGATGCATTCCAATCGTGGACTCGAGTTACGCGTCAATTTACAGTCACTATGAAGGGTTTCGGTAAAAAACGCTATTTTACCAAATTTTTTAACAAAACACTTGTTGTAGCTCTGTCGAAACGATGAAAAAACTATAACTGTATTTTTATATTAAAGAGATAATATAATGTGCATGTATTACCTCATCATATTCCCGTATTCAAAAGTTCCCCTGAATATAACATTCACAACGTATAGCTATAGAAATATATTTTTGAAATGTCCAAAAACGCAACTATATTAATGCCGCATTTAAACAAAATGATGTAAATGTTAGTTATACTCGTTACCGTGTTTCTACGAGATGACAATTTCTTTCTCATTGGCCGAATACAGTAAATTGATGCATTTATTTATTTCTTTGTAGATTCTACATTTTGAAAATACAATAAAATAATTCGACTTTACAATTATTATTCATTTTCAATTATTATTCATTTTCAATTATTATTAATAAGCATTTCTGTTCATTTCTTTACATATCATGTTTAATTCATAAATTTCTTTATATTATTTCATTAAGTTTTTCATTATATAAGTGCTTGTCTACTTTTGCAATATGCCTAAACATTGCGAAAACTCGAGCTTTAGATTTATGACAGATGACACAAACGTCACTCTTTTTTATAATGTTGCACGAATGTAAGCAATGCTAGATTTATCCGCATGATAAAAGCCACTCACGCTTTCGAATATCAAGTGTCTACCTTTTTATTCATCACAGCGTGCGGTTAATTAACGGACGCGGAGTACGTGCAAGGACGCGTGGCTGTTTCCTCCGATTCATTAGCGACAAAGTCGAGGCTTTAAACTTGTTTCTTAAAAAATGTAATGAAACATTTTGCTTTTATAATTTTGATAACGAGCGTATAACTAATCATTCTAGAAATTGTCCCTCGCGCGCATCATATTTATTTTTATTTTTAATTAATCCAATCTCACGTGCATGTCGAATAACAAATTGCACTGCAAGTAAAAAAAAAAAATACGTACAAATTGAATGAAGTTTAAAAGCTTTTAAATACAAAGTATGCGCATTTTTATTAAAGCAGATATGATTGAGTCATGTTAATGAATTTGCGAAATTACTCGAATTTTAATGATTAATACAATGCAAAATGTATAGAGTTGTATAACTCGTTCAAATTTTTTCATTTCTGCCTACAGTTCTTTTTTCTTTTTCTTTTTTTATAAGGATAGCAAACCGTAGCAACGACCCATTTCTTGAACCCTAGCGTGCAGTACGACGTTATTTCTACCTGCTCCTTATTCTATGTTGCTAACTTCCTTGATCGCATTGGATTACAACAGGATTGGACAAGACAAAAATAAAGGCGTTTCCTCATTTCTTCATTATTTTTTTAAATTTAATCTTAATCTAATTGTATGTATATATATATATATATATATACATATATTTCTCTTTTCTTTTATTTGCAATTTCTATATTTTCTATGATTTTATAGAATGTAATCCCTGTTAATTTTTATTTATATATATATATATATATATATATATATATATATATCCTCCGTCTTTAAATATTTCCATAATAATACACCTGAAAGTCTCAGAGAAAATGTATTCCAACTGACAGAAAGTCTCTTTTCTATATTTGCAATTTCTATATTTTCTATAATTTTATAGAATGTAATCCCTGTTAATTTTTATTTTATATATATCCTCCGTCTTTGACTATTTCCATAATAATACGCCTGAAAGTTTCTCAGGGAAAATGTATTCCAACTGACAGAAAGTCTCTTAACAAACTTATCGCTACGTATCTGTATCTTAATTAGAGCAGTGGTATGGAAAATACGTTTTACACTGCATTATGAATGTAAATAGGTCGGAGTGCAAGGATAACTTTGCACTTTTGATAATAAAAAGATGTAATAAAGAATGAAGCAGATACATAAAAGTTACGTTGGAAATTGGAATAATATTTTCTTTATCGAGATTAAATTAAGTGGCACAGTTTCGTTTTCATAGCTTCAAGTTATTACAATTGTTCAAGAAATTGATAAAGAAATAAAAGATTAAGGAAAAATAAAGAACAGCAATAAGGGAAAATGTAATATACGATCTTCGATGTGAAAATGATAATATACGATATCTTGCCCGAAGGTTGCGAGAGGATAAGAACGTGCATGGTAAAACATGGCAGGCTTCTTCTTATCTCGAACTGGTGGCTAATGCAACGAAATAATGAATCAGGAGATTATCTACGCTCGTAGGGCGTGCCATGTGTGAGGGCTACAAGTTTTCAGCATTATCTTCGTCTCAGATACCCCCCTCGCGACTGGTACATCCGAATGCTTGCTCGATGGCTCGATAATTCGAGTATCATTGTCGTGGCTAATCGCGGCACGTATCGTAATGTATTAAAGATGATGCACGCTCGTCGACGTGACTAACGTGAGGAAAATGGAAACACGTAATGGTTGTGACACGTTGGAACGGCATCGTCGAAAGTAGAGTAATATCGTCGAGATTATAGTCACAATTAATTAGTACATTAATTAATTAGTATATTAATATTAGTATGTTAATATTAGTATATTAATTAGTACATTAATTAATTAGTATATTATGTAACGCGTCATACTTATATCATTGTAAAAAGTATAAAATATGTGCAAATTATTTTTTCAAAAAATACCGAAAAAAGCATTTTTTTATTAGAAAATCAATTAAATCATGTATATATATATATATATATATATATATATATATATATATTAATCATCACAGTATCATATTCTTCTTGTTATTGTGCAATTTAATTATGATACAATAATTAAAATTGTATGCCTTAAACATGTATTATTTTGATATTCACATATGCATGTGTATCGTTTAATACGGAGAGGTTACCTTTTGAAAGTTATCAAATACTTTTCATATAATTTACTTTAATTAAAATTAATAATTGATTAAAAAATGATAATTTCACATTAATGGAAAGTTATAAAATTGCAAAACGCGCGACATACATATCATTTTGCGAGATACCATTTTTAGAAATGCCTGCAGAATGTATTAATAAATGATTTCTCTATAGTTTAATGTAATTTCTCAAAACTTATAATATATGTAAAATTAATTAAATATAAAAATTATCTCTCTTCGCACGAAAATTGAAATTTAATTTTACAAAAATTTATTTTTCACTTCAAACACACACAACGTAATAAATCTATGGAGAAAAAAAAATTATAATTCACATCAATTTAATAATACATTTAAATTTCTCAATATTCTGCATTTTTCATTAACACTTTTCGGTAATTATAATCTTTTTTAATTATGTTCTTTTTCCGAAATGACGTTTCATCACTCAAGATTGTTTCATGACCTATACGCCACAATTATAATCAACAAGATTATTAATCGACGCCTGAAAATTTCCGGCAGCTGGAATGCGCGTGAAAAGCAAGTTAGTCTTCAAGGTAAATTGACTTACCGGCGTGGTGTACGGTTGACAGGCCAGCCTGATGCCGTCGTGTCTCAGCTTCTCCTGCAGCAGCATCCTCAGCTGCATCCTCGGAATTCTCACGAGTTCGGCCTTGCCCTCCTCGTACTCGTCGGCGAACTTGGTCAACTCTTGACCGCCGCTCGAGGAGCTCGCCGTGGGCGACGCTCGCTGCGCCTCTTTGTCGCTGGGCGGCCTCTCGGACGACGTCCTCGATGACTTGGAGCTGATGTTGTCGCAGTTGCTGTCGTTCGTCTCCTCCAGCGTAAAGTACACACTCGCGGCCCCCTCCTCGCGCAGGGTCTTGACCGACTGCAGCAGGCGGGCCCGGTGCTTCTGATTGAAGACGCCGATCGCGTCGAGATCCGGATCGCCGATCTGCTTGCAGATCTCAAGGTCGTCGTAGCCATTGTCGATGAACGACTCCGAGTATTGGCCGAGGTGGAGCGAGCGCAGCCACTCGACCACGATGTTACTCGCCATCGTCATCTCGCTCTTGTGCACGCGTGGGCCCCGGCTACGCCCCCGCGAGTTCGCTCTTTTAAAATCTCTCCCCGGCTCTCCTCGCCCGCTCACTCGGTTCTTCGCCCACCCTTTCCCACCTCTTCCCCTCGCACGACGATCCCTGTCCCGTCTCCTTATCCGCTGTGCCTCGCTACCATCTCGCGGGATCGTTTCCCAGACGAACGTCCATCGAGACGCGCGGATCTCTCGTCGAAACTCGATTCGTCCGATTCAGCGTAAACTCGCGTCCGTTCTCACGTTTCAACGTGACATTCTCTCCCCCGCGATCGGCCGCGATACTAACGAGGGTCGTCTCGCCGACTTTCCGAACATGCGGTAGGAGGGGGGAGGGGGGCTGGCTGGCGATGGTCACGTTCCCCGTTTGACGTGTACCGCTCTTCGGCGCATTACGAGATACACGAGGACGTAAGATCGCTGCGTCTTCTTCTCGCTTCCGAAAGAATGATTCTTGAAGAAAAAAGCGAGGACACCTCGGCTCGAAAAGTCGACGATCGAATCTCGCTCTCGGTTCCGGGAAAATTTAGACGGGTCTATCCGTCTTCTTCTAACGCACGCGTGACATCCGATCCTCGTCTGTTTTGCCTCTGTCTCCTGGCGTACGTTTCGCGGAATTCGAGCCGCTGATGTTCGATGATGCAATTTCGACCGGTTATTCACGACGAGGGATAAGGTTGTAACTCGAATGTACTTGGGCACTTGGTTAAAATAATTCCGCGCACTCGCTGGTTACGTCACTCGAGGGAGATCGATGAGAAAACATGGCGCGAAAGTCACTACGCGATTAACTGAAGCAAGTCCACCATTCCAAGGAGCTCGAGAGATCCGACAGGGACGATATGAATCTCGGCGATTTACGTCGTCGATCGTTGAAGACTCGACAAAGTTCACGAGCGACGTTGTCCGATCGTTCGAAAATCCGCTCGGATCCGCGCTTTTTCAGCGGAAGACGATTATAGATCACGTGAGATCTTCGTGACGACGGACGAGCGAAGGGTCCTTCCGCTGAAAGCAACGGAAACTTGGCAACGTCGGCGAAATGATCCGCGAACGGTCTCCCTCCCGCTCGCTTTCCGCAGGAATTTTCAAAAAACTCTCGCGACGCACTGTCACTCGGCTACATTCACCCGGTTACATTCGACGAGTCCGCCTCGGTTACTCGTCCCCGATAAAGCGTACACTGAACGAAGCGAGCGTTGCAAACAATCGAGAATCGAGCGCGATTTACTCAGCGATGAGACACTTTTTGTCGCGACAACCGGACCGGCACTCGTCCGAAAATCGCAACTCGACGTTCTCCAGAGAATCCCGTGCAGTCACTCGCGACGTTAACGGTCGGCTATTCCACGCGTTGAAGTTTCCCCTCGTGTACGCAGACTTGCCAACGAAACCGGCAGACGGATTCGAAAGTGATCGCCCGGCGACGTTCGATCTCGCGATTTCGCGAAGTCGAAGCAAGGCGACAACGAACGAAAGTTCGTTGGTAGCCCTGACGCGCGGCTTCTCCGATCGACGGCCCGCGTGAAAATGGAGAAAAAACGGCAATAACGACGGGGAGAACGTGGCCGGTGATCTTGGTGAGGAGCGCGCGCCGCTCATAATCGGGACGAGGAAGACGTCATCGTCGATGCTCTCGACGAGACACGCGAAACGCAGGCACTACCGCACGACACTAACGCGACGCGGCACACGGCTCGACTGACACGAGACACACACCAGAGGGAGCCCCACTCGACTGCGCTCTTCACGAGCTTCCCCCACCGCCACGAGTCCACTCCTCCCCACCACGGGACTTCTTGATCCCCCCTCCTTCCCCGCCCCACACCAGTCGTTCGCGCGACGTGCCGACGAGAGCATCGGTGATGCGCCGCTATGTCAGGATGCAACAGCCGTCGGTCTTGACGCGACGGCGAGTGTCCTGTGGGAAGCTCTCTGCTCTTCTGCAAATCTTTCGGCGTAATTTGACATTTGGCGGCGGAGAATTTGGGGTTTTCTTTAATTTTAGTTTTAAGAAGAGAGGGAGAAGAAAAGGAGGAACATATGATGTGTATATTAAAGATTCTATCTTTTTAATTATAACATTTTTTTAATTATAACATTTTTTCATATGTTTCAGAAAGTCCACTCTAAATTTTAAGGATGTTTTGTACCTATTTTTAAAATATTGAGAATTTAATGAAAATTGTACAGAATGTCCTTACATATGTTTAGCATTTTCAGTACAATTTTTAAATCGGTTCACTAAAGCGTTCACAAGTTCTAAGGATTTTAATTTGCATCGAATTAACACGTGTTCTTATGGGAAACTACGTCGATTCAAATGACAAAAACACATGGAAATAATATTCAGAATTTATTTAAAATTTGCAAAAGTTTAGATACAGAGGAAATATTTGATCAAATAATATTATACAAGTACTGGTTAAAAAGATATTAAATATAATTCAATGAAGTTAGCCATGTATCTGTCAAAAGACGAAATTCTCTGCCAAAAGTTAATCATTTTGATTAACAAAATTCGGAATATTTCAGTAAAAACGCAATAAATATTAAAAAATACATCTCTGCACTGTAGTTAAGATCAAATTATAATATTCTACACAATTTCTCATAATCAAAATACATAAAAAATGGTATATTCGTCAATATTGATTTTCAGCTACTTTTTGCTGAGATTGTACATACAAAACATCCTTAAATGCAGTGTAAAAATAACATACAAATTAATTAAAAATTACATGAAAAAATAGTTACAATAACTCTGAAGAAATATTGAGGACATTAATATATAATAGTAATTATTTTAACTTAAATTATTTGTAATAGAAACATTTGATTTTAATAAATTTGATTATTTTTGTATGTCAAAGCTCAAGATTATTTGAAGATTTACTTTAACTTTTCTTAGAATATTAAACTGACTTTGAGACATGTTGATTGTTTAAAATTATTATGTTGAAAATACTATTCCATTTCTAACAGATATATACAAAATCTTAAGCTATGAAGTTGACATAAATATAACACATGAATGAAAACGTTATAAAAATAATAACATATAGGTTGTATGTTAATTTTAAAGTACTAATTAAAACGTGATAACAAAAAAAAATTTTAACATATGGATGCACAATTTTTTACTGTGTACTCTTCTAGAGATCTTTTGTAGTATAATAAAATATTTTAACGAGAAAAACACGTTTTGCTTTTAATATAAATATTTTTAACATTTTAATTATTTACAGTTTTTTTACATTTGCACAGCAGTAAAACTTTTTTATACGTTACTGATTAAATTAAATTGTGCTTTACATATAAGAATTTGACCAAAATAAATTTCATTAGATTTTTCAATTTCGACTTTTGTAAAAGTGGAAATCATATCAAGGAACATGTTTAATATGTTCCTTGATATGATTTCCGCGGACTATGATATACGAAATTCTCATCGCGATCAGTTTCCGTGTTAAAACGGTAACGTTTCATGTAAATTCGCAACGGAGGGAAAAAGTGGGCGAATATTAGATTCCCCATAACGTTCGCGTTGCGTGATCGCCCAGAAGGTACCACGGTCGTTGAAGGAAAGTTAGTATCGATGATTATCTGAGAGAATCGTAATCACAGTGCCTTTGTCAGAATTGTGGCATTTATAAATGAACGCCTAACGGCAATAGTACGAGACCTGTATGACCTACGAGGCGAATAATCTGCAATTCGCTGCCACTCAAATGGCCGGCACACGTCGGCTCTATATGCTATTATATTACGTTCGAACGAAACTGGACTGCATCGAGTAAATGCAATAGGAGTGGCGATAGTTCGAGGGTCACTATGGATGACCGCTTCTTTCCCTTCTTTCAAGCAAGAATCAAATGTCCTCGTAGGGCAGCTTCCCTTAAAATCAATGACGTAAGGCGATCGTGGATGCACTTACATGTCAGCTGGTATCAAAGATATTAATTTGTCCATCGTATATAGAATAATGATCAATTATGTAATTATGTAATTTTTAAAAAATGTAAAGATAACTGAAAATAAAAAAATTAACTGTCCGTATGATAACAAATCAAAAATTATAATAATACAAAAGGCTGAAGACTGTGACGTAGGTTGTTAGAACGTAATAAAAATTCAAAAAATATAAATCTAAAACAGTAAATTATATATTTATTAATTGATTTGATGGAGAGAAGCATATAATCTATTATTGAAAAACACTGTCATTATTTTGTATTCGAATTATTGTTTAGACAGATTATGTGATTCTCTTCAATTAATCAATTAATCCAATTAATTAATCTCAAATTAATTAATGAATATATAATTTGACCGTCTTAGATTTATATTTTTTAAATTTTTATTATAATTTCTAACATCCTACGTTACGATTTTTAGCCTTCTGTTTTATTATAATTTTGATATTATAACTGAAAATCGTACAAATTCAAGATTCGTACAAATTCAAGATTGCGCATATTTTGTCCTCTTCATAGCGTCATAATGCAATTTTATAATAACACATAGCTTTTAAATTAATTGAACAATGCAAACAATATATTTCTAAGTGTTTTCACGTGATTAATTCTTAAGATGTTATCTATTCGAATATGGAATAAATTATTGCTTCCATCGAGTAATTCTAAAATACGTTATACATTATTAGAAATATATCTATTCCTCAAAATATAATGTAATTCAGATATTTGCAATATAATATTACAATCTGATCATGCAATATGATATTTACTGCAATATGATATTCGTGTATTATATAAGATCATTATTGGGCGATAGAATAATAACACAGGTATTGTCGTCTGAATAATTTTATTTGACTAAATTTGCCGTATGTTTTTGATTACTCGCGCATAAAGCACCTGCCGCATTCGCTTTTTTAAAAATGCGAACACGAAAACCGATAGCGACCGCGTAAAATCTCTATTAAATGACAATGCTAGTCGTGTGGAGCTTGGGCGAACGATGATCACCGATATATGCGTGAGGTCCGAATTAATTGAATGATCGGCACGGACGTACCCGTCCTGCTATGACGGCAAAGCAGGGAGTGACAAGTAGCTCTCAATAACGTGATATGACATCGCGTGTCGTGGACAGGAAGGACCCTTTCAATGCAACCCTCGCTATTTCCTCGCTTTGGTCGAGTAATTTGCTTTCGAAGCAGAGGGATGAGATCGGAAGACGAGTCACCTGTCAATATATTAACTCGTTTCCGCAATGCCGCGAATTATTATAAAGCGACGAAATAAAGCTTTTATAGCGCGATAATTGCTTCGTGTACGTTCCAAATATTTATAATCGTACAACAAATTTTATTCGGATAGCCCAGATTATACGGGACTAACGATATTATGAAGATCTCTATGAATTTTTTGTTATTGAAGTTAAATGACATGGTGGGGCTTTCATTAAAATATTCCACATCAACAAAATACATTATCGTATCTCACAGACATTTTAATAACAGTCAGGGATAATAAATTCGCACACACATTTGCGTAATTTTTGTAGAGATTTCTAAAGCTGTGTACGACGCCAAATTGCAATAACATTATTTTGCATGTTTACGACTAAATATTATCTTTTTTATAATTTACAAATAAAAGTTTGTATATTTTTATAATTTACAAATAAAAGTTTGTATCTACATAAATAACGTATAGATCAAATTATTGCATTAAGAATTAACAGATCATTAATTTTAGAAATAAGAGAAGATTAGTATTCCGACGATTGTCTGCTAAATATGATAAAGCTTGATTTGTGAGAAAACGGTTACCGCATACAGAATAGGATAAACGTAGAGTCCTGCCGGATTCTGGTTAGGTACTCGGCTTATCTTTAATCGGTGTGTCGACAGGACACGACGCTAACAAGAATTTATAATTCATTCATAATAAAAAGGCAGAATATTCGTGTTTGACTTGAAACCTTCTAAAAAATAATTCGCAAAATACGCAATTTATTCTTTGACTTGTTTATTGTTTTCATAGCACAAAGAGTATTTAGCATATCATGTCCATCGTCAGTATAATATTCTACATCTATGATGATGAGATTCTAATCGATACTCCGATTGAGGCGCTTAATCTTATAACTTTATGAAAGCCATTTCACTGTTTACGGTTCTAGTTACCGATTCCAGTGATGGCGTGTTTACGATATATTTTACCGTTTCAAAACAACCAATAAAAACGGCGCACCCGTGTTCGTCACGCACGTCGAGCATATCGAGAGTAGAACGTAGCCTGCGATGCTGCAACCAGAATTGCAGCTTCGTGCAATTATTGCAGCCGCCCAATGATGGTGATCAGCTACATCTGAGGTCGATGTCGCGATAAAAAGGGAACCTCGGGTTCCAACCGGAGCTGGCTAGTTTAAAAATATCGACATTAACTGCCGATTCGTCCGACTGGGACCGAGCAAGAAAACGCTGCGTCCGATGCTGTGAAATAGCGATCATAAATAGCGAGTTCGCGCCCCAAGCATAAAATCCGAACGAGCCGACCGAGCTTAAGGCAGATAACTGTTTAGAAAAAAAACAAAAAAACAGCAGTGGCATGGCTTTATAAGCATTATGCGCATATATCAGCCACGTTAACTACCGATATAAAATCTAAGGGAAAAGATTCTGACACACGGAATACGCGCGTCGGGTAGATAGTGTTATTGTAATTAAATAGACGCTCGTCTCGTATGTCAAGGTGATTCATTGCCGCTAGACGAGTCATTTTCATCTCGTATCATTAACACTTTACGGTGCGCGACTTGCCGGTCCAGATTGCGCCAATGCCGCGGCATTGTGGCAATTTTTCGGCTTCGTTCTGCTACATTACGCGACTCGAGCTCCGAATCCCAGACCGGGGCGCGATTTATCGTTCTGCCAAAAAAGCACGCGGCATCGCATCCACGAGTCCGAGGAACTGGCGTTTTTCGCTACCTTTCGTCGAATAATTTCGTGACATTTATCGTTCGTGACTGCGCGCCCTCGTAAACAGCGAATACGGAGATCTATTTCGTGTATATCTAAGCGGGTGCTATAAAGCACAGCTCATGAAAAGAATTCCGCGCTCTAGGATACGTTTAATGATGGATCGTAAAGGGCGAGCAGTAAATGATAATGATAGCGGGACCGTTCTATGAAAACGTTACTTACTGCAAATATCTTGGCAACACGAGACTAATTTCTGTTTTTCCCGGTGCGCCTTACGTAGCGCGAGAGGGGGTGCTGCGAGAGATGCCTCGGAATCTGCGTAATTAAGCGAGGGTCTCGCGAATAAATTTACATCGTCTGTAAATCCTTCACATTAGATAAATGCTCACAATTAGCTACACTCCTGCTGCGCCCGGCGCATTTCGAATTTGCGAAGGATGTTTTGTTTTGGTGATTAAATAATGTTTCAAATATTGTATGCATTATTGCACGCGAGAGCATCCATGTACTATTAGCAATATATTTACTTGTATATCTATTAATTATTATTTAAATTATCATACATGCGAGCAAATATTAATTATAAATCTGCGGTCAACAAGCACTGGTAAATTAGGTCATTCATTATTCAACTAACTTTATGAGTTTTTCACGTATTATTTGCGCAAAATAACTTTCGAAGACAAGAAGAACTCTTTATAAATTTACGAAATCAACCAAAATATTTTTTTCGTTATTATTAAAAAATTATATAAGATTTATATCTGAAATTTTACAAAAAGGTTGGAGCATTGTGAATAATTACATTAAATAAGCTTTGTATTTTTTTGTTTACAATATTTTTATATGATACGAATTGAGCTACTTTTCTATAGTACAAACAGTAAGAGACGGACTTTGAAATAATATCAGCGATGGCACCGTAACCCTGGCCGTAGAGATAGAAGGAATGCACTTCATTTCTGGACGGGGTGCATAAACGACCGTTCTTGTACCCGGAAAAGCTCGGGTTAATTCAGAGGCTCGGCGAAAGTCGTAAAATAGTGCGTGACCACCGGTCTTCCTGCGAGAAAAGGAGAGAATGTACGTATACATAAGTACATGCGGGTGTATTTGCGGAACATGTGAACCTTTCTAGAGGAATCTGCGTACACGGACGTGAGCTGCAGTATCTGTACATATCCCGTGTATGTAGAATGTTTCAAAAAATTACATATTTCAATTTATATTATCCTTTTTTAATTTATTTATAAAGACTACCTTTAAATACAAAATAAAAAAATTAATTATATAATTTATACTTCTCAATGATTCAGTTTTATTATTAAATATCGGTTTCAAATTTCATGTTCAAATTTTATTAAAAGAGTTCTTTTAAAATTTTGTCATCCATTTGTATTATCTCTAGTATCTTAATTTACTAAAATTTACTAAAATTCAAAAATTATTTATATTTCTATATAAGTGCGAATATTTAAAACTATATATGATTTGATTATATTACTATATGTGATTTTGAGACACCCTATATACAGAAAGTCTAGTAATTTATCGTGGATTTGGAGGGTAAGATTCTATTGCGAGCACGTACATCTACTATGACTACAGATATCACATTACGAAGATGATGCTAGGCAACTGAAAAAGCACATTGTTCAAGTTTTTTTATTCAAGACGCAGTTCTCTAAACGTTGTCAATAGAATATTAATATTTCCTCTGTACATATGTCATATAAATTTTTACGATAACCAAAATTAAAAATTTTAATTTGCATACAAAGAGTTTGGCTCTTAAAAATAAAGAGAAAAATTAAAATATAGGAACAAAAAACGTATATTTGTGCTTTATTTTATTGATGTATCACATTTAATAATTATTGATATTTTCTATAAATCATTTCATATTTCTGTGATATTTTTTGACTGGTCCAGACGTGTAATGCAAGTTAGAAAGGGCGAATCAAACACACTCGAGTAGAGACCTGAGATCACAGCCGGAGGCGGTACGAAACGGTTATGTGGTTGTCGAGTCTGCTAAAGCACAAGGTCAAAGTTTCGGCAATTTGGGATGCGATGCGGGTAAGGAGGTAGCAACTTTAATCACTTTCGAATCGGGGTAAATCTACTCGCGTATCTCGAACCCGCAGGATCATGTGGCGTGTAGTTATTGCTTTACTTTAGAGAAAATTCAACTATAAGGATATCATATCGGGAAAGAAATAATTAAGCTAGTTATAAATTAACAAAACAGATTTCTTTTTCATAAAACAGTATGTAAGAAAAATTATGTGTGCATTTGTAGTTATATGAATTTGTAATTATATGAATTTGTAGTTATATGAAAAAATTATGTGTGCATTTGTAGTTATTTGAATTTATTTATGATTCTATATAATATGTGATGGAGAGATATTTTTTGGTACATTTCCATGAAAATACAAATAAAAACTTACAAATAATTAGTCATATTATTCCATTTGGAATATGAGTCAGTTTCAAACTTACAAACTATACATTTTAGAGAATTGTTGGCAATCCTTTTTAGTTATTGAATTACCATAACAGAAAGTCGAATAGATTCTCCTATTTCTCATCTTTATCGCGCGCTTTACATAATTATTCATCTTTTCGGCACCTCCATTTACATCATGTTACTTTCACGCTCTTAAAATGCATCACTTTCTCTTTTTCTTGTCGTTGAAAGCGTAAATCAATATATATATATATATATATATATATATATATATATATATATATATATACATCCTAATCGGTTCTTTCTTGCAATTTTAAGTGGAATTTTTAATTGGAATTATAATTTCGCACTATATACAAGTCCATAAATATTAAGCGAAATGCGGAATACATGGGTGTAACTTGAGTCAGCTGCATGCTGAATATTTTGAGATTTCGAAACTAAAGATGTAAAATGATGATATCAAAATACAAAACGTAATATCACTCGAAATAGATTTTTTTAAATATCTAGCTTAAAAAAATTTTTTTGCCGGTACCGGATACGAGTATCCTTCACTGGAAGGCTCGTTCAAGTGAAGTTCGGAGTTCGGTAGACCCGCAAAACCAGCAGAGTGTTCACCACTGTTCACAATACCGCCGGATATTGTCAATCCGGAACTGTGTCCGCTTTCCAATGCGATGCCGGTTTCTCCATTCACGTGTCCAACTTCAATGGAAGTAACTGGTTGAGCGGTTTGAGGGGGTAGCGGGACGGGATACGAATCGGGACCGATCGGAAGGGGTTGAGGTAATGGTATCGAACCTGGTCCATGAACAGGTATCGAACCTGGTCCATGAACAGATATCGAAGCTGGTCCATGAACAGGTATCGAAGCTGGTCCATGAACAGGTATCGAAGCTGGTCCATGAATCGGTATCGGAGCTGGTCCATGAACAGGTATCGAAGCTGCTCCATGAATCGGAATCGGAGCTGGTGCAAAAACTGGTGTCGCAGCTGCTCCATGAATCGGAATCGGAGCTGGTGCAAAAACTGGTGTGGCAGCTGCTCCATGAATCGGAATCGGAGCTGGTGCATAAACTGGTGTCCCAGCTGGTCCATGAATCGGAATCGGAACTGGTGCATAAACTGGGACTGGATGTGGCACGTGCACGGGTTGAGGAACCGGCACTGGTACCGGACGGGGCACGTTAACGGGGTAGGCTTTAGTAACGAAGACTGGGACCGGATGAGGCACCCGAACTGGAACAGGACGCTTTACTTCGACGGGTACGGGATGCGGTACCGGTACAGGGATTTTGCGAGTGACGGGAATGGGCTGAGGTACAGGAACCGGCACCGGGACCACACGATTCACGATAGTTTTGTGAACGTGTACGGGTCCATGTCCATGTCCGATACCATAACTTGGTGCGTATATTCCATGGCCTCCCCCGAATCCAATTCCAGGACCGATTCCTGCACCGTGTAGACTTCCATCCCCGTGTCCATATCCGTGATCATGCAATGCAACGCCGCCGTGATCGTAAGGGATGTTCGGTACGAAATCGCCGTGTCCACCCGAATATATCGGTGGTCCTCCGTTCAAAAAAATATGTTTCTTCTCCGATACATATGCATCACAGGCGATGATGGAAATAATCAGCAATGAAATCTATATAAAAACAACGATTTGTCATTAATATATTTAGAAAGATATTATCAAATAAGAAAATTAATTTTAATAGGTAATAAATTCTACTATTATTGCAGATTTACTGATATTTTTTTTTCGCTTTATCAAGAATATGAAAATATATATTGCTCTATGATCTACGGAAGGCGTTTATTCAAGCACATAAATTTAAGAGATAAATTTACTTAATAAAGAGTTAATTAAAAAGATTGATAAATAAAGATATAATAAAAAAAATGTTTAGTTAATATAGTTATAGTGTTACAATGTATCCGCTAATGAAAAATGATTAAACAGATGAAACAGAACCTTTATACTTGTCTTTATATATATGTAACAAATATAAGTATAAATACTAAAATTTTATCTTATTATGGTGCATTATATTTATATTCGGAAAAAATTTGACAAAAAATTTCACTACTCACTAGGGATGTCTTCATGATGAACTTGCTATGAAGAGATGACTTCTAAATGTGCTTCATATCATCGATTCGTCGGTTTTTATACGGCGATGTCAGACGACTTTACTTTCACTAAATATCCGCTGTAACACGCCCTCTGATCTGGACCCATCACATTCTAAAACTAAACTTCCTCAGTTATATAACTGACCACATAGCGCAAATGTCGAGAGATGATTAGAGAAGAATATTCATAAGTGATTTTGACAACATGCGCGCGTTCTTCGTCAGATTCTATAAAATTTATTTCATCAACAAATTCATATTTCTCAGCATATTTATAAATATGTGAATTATTTATCAAGTAATTTATATTTATATTTATACAATATACACAAGTAGAAATCAAGAGTGAAAAAAATGTTTTCTTTCTAAAAATAAAATCAGATTTTACATATGTAAACTACAAACAACATTTTCATCCGTTAACATGATGCAAGTGAAAAGATTTAATTTCTAATTTGATTCTTTTATTATAGAAATTTTTATTAATTGGATGACATTTGTATGATTATTACTAACTATACTTTTATTAACTATATTTTTTGTGCAAATGTCATTTTCACATATGATTATTTTTAATGTTCAATTTATACTATACATACATAATTTATATACATATTTACAGAATGCAAATATGTTTTTTACGGACAGATCTCAGATTATATAATTTTATCGATTGTATTTTTAGAAAAGAAATCGTTAATTCTAATTATAAAAATTTTAAATTGTAATAACAATAATAATATTATAATTATAATATAACTTGAATATATTAGTAATAGTAATATGCCACTAGTTTGTATTAATCCATTTATAAATGCTTATAGATGTAATATTTATAAAATGTTATCGACATCTTGTATGCATTACGAGAGTTTTAAAAATTGATTACAAAAAAAAATAAGTATATATATATATATATATATATATATATCTTTGAATATAATAAAATATTAATGTAGGCAGGCTGACAATTGAATTATACATTTTAAATTATTGAACGTGTCATATTATTTAAAGAATTGCACTTCGTTAACATATAAAACATAAAGATCTTTATAAATGCCTAAAGTGATAAAAGGACTAATTTTTTAATATATAAATCTTTATAAATGTATAAAGGGATAAAAAAGCCAATTGTTTTATATATAAATTTATATATTTATATATAATTTATATATTTATATATTTATATATAATTTATATTATTTATATATTTATTATATATAAATTTATATTGTGCCTTGTTCTTTATTATTAATTTTTTCTTATTATTATACTTATTATTATATATTATTTTAAAGAAAGATAAAAAGATCTTTCGTTGTAAATTTCTGTTGAAATGATACACATGTGGACAGTGATGGATATAGGAGACACATTGTCTAACACTATAACAGTCACCTGCGTTTAATATCTTTCGTTAGTCACTTTATTTGTCGCGGTCAACCGGTAATTGCCCTTTTACTTACAGTTTAGACGTAGGTAGTACGCTAGCCTGGGGCGATAAATCGGTAACCATACGGCGACAATTAGCAACGTCTCGTTGAGCGCGTTGTGAGAACCGCGCGCCGTTTCACAGTCGTAATCCTAATTTCCTTACTTGAGAATTAATTGAACTCACCGCACAACGATCCAATATTCCAGCGATATGTATACTTCAAACATAAATGAGTATTATTATGGCTGATGGTGTTTTACCTATTTTTTAAATTTATTCTCATGCATTTTGAATCTTTTCTTTTTGAAAATAAATAATGTAAATTCATATAATATATATTATATATATATATATATATTAGGATTTAAAAACATAATTTTTATCCCATTTTTGGATAAGTGTAGCTTCACAGGAAGGGATGTAACAATATATGTGTATATGTGTATATGAAAAGGAAGGGATGTAGCAATATATGTGTATATGTATATATGTGTATATGAAAAACTCCCCTTAATTTTCGACAAAGAATCATCTCCTAAAATTTTTCACTTATTAAGAAACACCATATATATATATATATATATATATATATATATATATATAATCTTTTAATTAAAAAATTTAATATACAGGAAAATTTTATAAATGTACAAAATTAATGAAAAAGTATATAATAAATTAATTAATGAATAAATAAAAAAATTAGTTAAAGCAAATTTAAATTATATTTTCGTAGAAATTTATTATTGAATATTTAATTATGTAACAAACAATATCATTACTAAATATTAATTTAAAAAATAAGATAGATACATAGAAAATTCTTTTAAAACTATACAGATTGAATAGATCATTGTGCGTTTGAATAGTAAAATACAGTATATTTTGCGACTAGCCAAACGTCTTCTCATAATTAGTAGTTTTCGAAGAATTTTCACTAAAAGTCCTTTGTTAGCAGGCGTCGTGCCGCCAAGATTTATCCACGTCATCCTTTTTATTCGGATATTCGCGAGCAAGCTGCCGAGAAAAAAAGCAGAAAGTAAATGGAGACATATTCCTGTAGGAGCGCGCGAAGCACAGTCGATGCAGAGCGGGAGCTAATGTCAGAGATTAGAGGTAATCCGTTCTCGCTGGCAATCGTCGAGGAGGATCCTTCTCGTTCGCAACCAGCGCAGCTTCGATCTAGATACTGCAGGCACTGTCGCAGCGCAAAGAGAAGTCTCCTTCCATCTTAACCGGGAACTAAGGGTCCTTCCGTCTCTTTTTCACTGGCAGATACATTAGAAGGAATTACGAAAAGAGCGTTTCGAGTGACGCGAGCATTAAGACCGCGCAAGACACGGCACCGGCGGTAATTACACTAATTACGGAGTCGTTAGGATTCTTTATAAATACTGCACCTTTCCTGCCTTCTTTTATTTTTCTCACAACCGCTCTTGCGATCGCAAGCTTCGAAGATGACCGCAGAAGAAACGCGCACCGACAGTTTTGGAAAATATTTTTTTCATTTGCGCTTCTGCAATTCTTGTTTCCTCTCGTTTTCTTAAACTAAATCTGTGAAAGTGTCTCTGATTAAATGAAAGTGTCTAAATTAGCTACACAAGATTTCAAACGTTATAAATTAAAAAATTCTGATAAATTAAATACAAACGAGACAATTAACAGATAATAAGATAATAAACAACAAATAATAATTAATAAATATCTTAATATCGCTAGTCGAATAATCAAAGGATTATTGAAAAAATGTAGTCGACCAAACTAGCCAGAAATTTAGTTTATTATTACGACGTTTCGACCATATGGTTGTGGTCCTTATCAAGTACATACTGCAAAGATTATAAATTGATAAATTAATTGACAGTTTTAATATATAACACGCTCAACAAATTAAAATGTAACAATGTTAGTATACCGAAGCCATAAATCAGGAGACCGGCATAGACGATGATCTTATAAATTGCACAAATCACATTAACAAAAACGTTATTTATTAAAAGATTTAAATTAGAGAGAAATTGATGTGTCCGTGAGAGACTTCGTCAAGAGACTAAAAACAAACGCTATGAGACGGGACTATGTGACCTTTATTATTTTATCGTAAATATTATTTAAATTATCTGTGTCTTTCTGTAGGTTGATTAAATTATTATTAAATTTTTTGATGAAAAACATCTCAGCAATTTCTCTCTTTCGAACATATTTTTCGTTATGCAAAATATTAGGTTTCGACCAGTCAAAATCGTGTCTAGATTCTAATCTATGTTTGCTAATAACCGAATGATTAGATTCGTGTAACTTTATATTGTTGCAATGTTCTTTTAATCGCGTACGTAAATGTCTTTTTGTTTGCCCGATGTATGACAAATTACAATCTTTATTAATTTATCAATTTATAATCTTTGCAGTATGTACTTGATAAGGACCACAACCATATGGTCGAAACGTCGTAATAATAAACTAAATTTCTGGCTAGTTTGGTCGACTACATTTTTTCAATAACAAATAATAAATTCAAATTTTTTTATTTAATTTGCAGTGGACTTAAAATAGAAAAAGCTAATTTCTAATTCTAATTTATTAATACATTAGAAATTAGCATTAAAAATTCAAAAAAATCACAGCATTTAATCAAAGTTTCGAGCTATCCTTACACATTCGATATATAGAATATCTAATGAATATATTATTTCTATTATAAATATACTTATATAGAGTTGAAACAAGTGGAAATTCTGGCCATTGACTATTAAAGTGGATCTTTTCTATTCAGATTGAAATCCGATGGATACATCGTGAACTTTCGTGTTTCTCCACTTTCACTAAACCAGTCCCCAAGGAAATAAAAAATATGCACCTGTGAATTCTTCTTTTCTCTTATTAAAATCAACTACGACATCAACTTCGCCAAATACATGAATAATTAATCAATTTTGCTAATTAAAACGACGAATTATGTTAAATTGATTGCTATTCACAAAATTCAATACAGCTGTAATTTAGACACGATTTCGCTTATAAAACCATTGGATACTTTTATATTCGAATATACATGCAGAAAAGTATATGAAATGCATAATTATAAATATATTATTTCAAGCTTTGATGATAATTTTAACAGAATTTTGAAATAATGAATACATCATATTACAGCTTGAATATGATGATTATATCGTGTATATATATAATTGCAATTATTTAAACTTTTTAAACTATAATAAATAACTTGAAAAGGGATAAATATTGCTTGTTTTTAATTATTTTATAACTTGTTCAAAATTCAAATTTTAATATCAAATCAAGATAATTACAAGTGCTTGTTTATAAAAACAAATATAACTTAATATCATCACAACGTGTCTCTGTCCTCATAAATCAAGATGTTTATAAATTCGTCTTATAGAAATGCTTCCTATAAATTAGGTGTGATTATGCGAAATATTGCGCGATGCTTTTGAGACTGCCTTGACACGTTTCCATTCATCAGGACTTTCGTGCTCGCTTGTAGAAGTTCGTAGACCTCTTTCGCGGATTCGTACGATGACATTATTTTACATAGGATAATAAAGATGATGACGAAATGGAGAAGCATATGATGATAGAGATGATGATGAGATGGAGAAGCGATT